AATTTGTTCCTCCTGGACAAACCGTCAACGCCAAGTTTTACGTGGAAGTGCTCAGGAGACTCAAACGAAGGATCAGTCGGGTCCGACAAGACATCGCAGCCGACTGGAAGTTGCACCACGACAACAGCTACCTGACCAAGGCCGGCATCCCAACGCTTCCGCGGCCGCTCTACAGCCCAGATGTGCCCCTCCCCCCCGGACTTTTTTGTTTCCTCGCCTGAAAAGGCCGATGAAAGGCAAGCATTTTGAGACGACAGAGGGGATCCAAGCAGCATGCACCGCGGCTCTCAAGGCTATTCCAGGGAATGCCTTCCGTGACGCCTTCCATGCTTGGAAATCGCGCTGGCAGCGCTGCATCGACGCAGAAGGAGCCTATTTTGAAGGTTTTTAAATAATTGCAACGATTCACTCAACAAATTTTTTTAAATCGACTCAGTCCTATTACTTTCCGGACAAACCCTGTATTTCTTAATTTCATATGGGAAATACGAGCCTATCTTACACAAATCGTATTCTTGTTCCAAAGACATTTTACAAGAAATCGCCCATTTATTAAATCCATTACTTCAAGGACTCCTCTTTCGTTTATCGTAAATGTACCAAATACATTACCCTCTTACATCGTATACATTAAAGAATAATTTTAAATACATGTGATTTCATCAGCTAGACAAACATAGGGGATTATTGACATGCAGGCCACAGGATGAGTGTCAGATGATACATTAACCAAATATGGTGTTCTACTATATCACATAGTTGTCTATCTGAGCCATCTCTCTAAAGTGGCCAATGTATGAAACCTCATATGATGAATACATGAGCCTAGCGATTTGGTTCCATTCATCAGCAACTTTAAAGGGATGGCACGCATTTTAGTATTACCCTTTTGGTTTTGAGCTTCTAAATATTAGGTATGCAGCTTGATTGTCGATTGTAATGTCGTCTATTCCATACTCGTATGTATGACTATGTATCCTCAAAGAATCGTTAAAAGGCATGTGAATTGCAAGTTCTTGAGTAAACATTCTCCCCTCTTGTAAAGTGATATTATTTTTACGCAATGAGTATATAGAGTAACTTCGACGCTACTGTAGATAGATATGACGCTTTCCTCAAAGCACGGCTAGCTGATGTTGATCGAAGTTAGCATTTCTGGAGTTGAAAGAACTACTTTCCGCATACATGTTGAGAGACTATATAAACATGATTTTGTATTAAAGAAAAATGTCATCCCAATAATTTCATCTAAAGTAATTCATTCCAACTGTTGAAGCCTAACAAAATACTATTGAAATGACATTGCTTTGAAGAGGGAGATTTCCTTTGCGTTAGGCTGCCATAATACAAAAATACAAACTATGCAAAACAGTCTACGCTGTTGATAAGATGAGCATCTACGCTCAACAGTAACTTGATAAATAGAAAAACTGTGGGTCAGATCACTTAATTTTATAAGCATCCTTTGCGGCTCCAAGAGGTACCTAGTTTGACCGCGTATCGAAAACTTAAGCGTATTATCACAGACAAAATTTCGGATTGTTGGTTAATAATTTACATATCTAAGATATATGTTTTCCAAAATTGTCTGCTCTGATTCGACATAGTGTTTCTGAAGTTTTATCAAAGTAATTAAAAATATAAACAACCATTCCTATACTGCTGGTTTTCTGTTTGTATAGTACACATAATGTGAGAAAGCATTTATTTTTCCAGATTTAAAAAATAATAGAAAAAAAGGAGCTTTGTAGATTCGAACCTTCGTCCTGCGATTCTGCAATCGTTACTCTTTCCCATTACACTACGACGCCTCTTGGCTTACTGGATCTTTATATATCGGTATTAATCCCTATATATATGGATTAGTACCGAACATTTTGCCTATTTTTTTCAGAAGGTCAGTTCGCTACAACGGGTTGATATTTGTCTACTACTTTTTCGTGTTCTCAAGTTTATTTCCCAACATTTTGAACTTGCAGTCGTTCTAATCGTACGAGATTAAATTAATTTTTTCTAGCACATGGTACATACTAACTAGTCTAAGACAGTTTGAAACATAGTTGTCTTCAGCTTGCATGTGAACTTTATAAACCGTCCAGCATATTTCAGTATGAAATATTTTTCTTTATAAACTTTATCGCTCATCTGTGACCGTGTAAAAATGCCACCTCTATATATGTACACACAAGAGTATGAAAAAATCTTGAAAAAGAATTGTTTTCTTCGCAATAAAAGGTGATAGATACGTCCGCTTTGTTTTAAAATATGTACAGGGTGACTTTGAAGTTGAGTCATTAATTTTCAAATAATGATTGTAGAAGGAAGATAAACCAAAATATATGTATAAAAATAAAAAAAAAGGCACGAGCGGTTGGTTGGACTCGATTGGGAAACCGATCCGCTTAAATCCGTGATGCCGCGGCAGCATTTTGTAAAGACTCCCCCCGCCCCGTAAATAAGAATCATGTCCACAAGTTCAGCATTTTCGTAAACATGTGCCTTTTTTTATTTCGCTTCAGCCACGCAACAAACACCACTATTCACTCACGCGTTACCGACTGACACATTGACTGAATACAACTGAATAAAATTGTAGTAGAAACATCGTGATAAGCGTTTCAAATTCTTTCGCTTTCTTGTTTCCGATGCAATGAACCGATAAGGCGGATTATATCCGTTGTTGCCAAACACGAGCACATAATATTATTATTGAGACAGGGCGGTACTCAAACTTCTAAAGGGCTATAACTTTGTTACTTTAATTTTACCAGAAAAATGTTAAAGGAAAAAAACATTTCTTTTGATCAGATCTACTCACTGTTAAAGTAAATGACTCAACTTCGAATATAATAACGTATGTTTTTCGAATACGGTAGCGAATCTGTTCAATTACTCACAAATACGAAATTTTTGAATTTGTTTGGAAGAAAAAACGTAACCCCTTGTTTTTCGCATAAAAGTAACAATTATCTTTTGGAATGGTTTGTGCGTCATATCGGCAAGGTGAACTCGCATATTTTGCTATTAGATGTCCTCTAAGCGTACCCTGTATATTGCTCGGTAAGCTAGTAGGGAAACTCGGGCAAGAAGCAAAGAGCGGGTAAAAAGAATAGTCTTTTTTTTTCTCAAAATCTATAACAGATGGCGTTGCTATACGTTATCTAGGCCTGCCGCATGAGACTGGCGACGCGATGATAGTTCATCCAAAACCATGATTTCTTAAGAGTTTTGCAACGGTTCGTACACTAACTTTTTATATAATTTAGTTACTTATACATTATATTAGTTTATTCTATTGCAAGTTTAAATGAGTATAATTTGTGATTATTGTTTTTTATTTACCTATTTGCAATGTTTCAAGTTTCAAAACGGTTAACGGCAAAACGGTTAAGGTATCCGTTCTGCCCATATGTGGTATTTTAATCTAGTCCATCTTAAATAAGCCTCATTTTAGTATATTATGCCCACTTCAGCTAAATATATATTCAATTGCAGGATCTACGTTTAATTTATATATAACTGGTACTTTAAATTAAGTTGCAACTATTAACATGTGAATCTAATATTTCATTATTTTAGATGGTGTTCAAATACACACGTAAAAGTGATTGAGCAGCATGGTCAGAAGAAACACTAGAAATGGTATTGAAAGCTGTAAAAGATGACAAGCAATCCATTAATTCAACCGCGAAGCAATTTGCTATACCATTTACAACTTTGCAGAGACACGTTAAGTATGGAAATAAATCGAAGGAACTAGGTAGTTTCGCATCTGTGTTCAGTAAGAATCAAGAAGAAGAGTTGATTAGATAGTCTGTTTTTTGGGCTTACCCGTTCAGATTTTCTAGTACTGGTTTTTTATGCCTCAAGGAATAGTATTTCTCACCCATTTAAAAATGGAAAAGCTGGAGACGATTGGTTTTCGGGTTTCAAACGCCGACACCCACAAATTGTACTAAGAGCGCCGGAGGTAAGTTCGTTAGCAAGAACAAGAGGATTCAACAAACCACAGGTGGCACGTCACCTTTTTGTCTTTTGCACTCATCGATTGCAGACTCTCTATGTGGCTGTATATTGACCCCTCAAAAAGTACTTTGAGCAAGAATTAAGAACCTTCCTAAAAATGCAGCCAGGGCGCATTATAAACCAATATGATATTGCAATACTTTCTGGAGGACCGTACGCCAAAAGTGCTTTGGTTCAGAACGAAGCTAACGGGATTGAAAAGCCATTAATATGACCCTATGACCCAAATGTGTTTGGAGAGGAAGATTACACTCCTTCGACTACAACAGCATGGTGCATCATCTACTTTGACCAATGGCCCTTTAAATGACTCTCCGGTAGTAAACTCGATTGGGCTTCTTTCACCCGAAATTGAATCTGCTGCGCTTATAGATGCAATACGTGAATCTTCAGCAGGCTACCAATGCACGACAACTATGACTGAGGTGTTTACTACATCTGTGCCTACTTTCACCTTGTCCAATAATGTACTGGAACAAGGATCAGCTAAGTTAGAAAAAGCAATAACTGCAGCGAATCTTACACCATTGCAAATTAGACCAATACCAGTTATCGCTGCTCCTCTAGACAGCATTGAGCATGGATAATGTAGTCGAGCGGCAGCACCCCAAATATGTGAGCAGTACTCGAGGCTAGGTCTTATCTACACCTTGTACATAGTGAGGAGGTCATGTGGAGAAAAACTCTACTTCTTAGCCCCACACAAATAAAGAGCCAATGCAACTGATGTATGTCAGTTAGTAATTCAGTCCGTCAGCTAAATAACAACTTCAGTAAATATTTCAAACAAGTGCATAATTTTACAGAAATCTTGCTCGATTTGGTATCCTTATTTTTGAATCATAACGTCTGCGATTCCGTTTCACATTCATATACTCCGCTAGAAACGATTTCATACTGACGTTACTTAAGAGCATTTTGGAAAAGAAATGTGAAGTGCTCGGTGATTCTAATGATACGTGTATAATATTTACCTTGCAGTAACGCTGTATCAGGCGGTGGAAGCATAGATTGCCTTCTCTCTTCACCCAATGAAGTCAACCTGGACCTCCTGGTGATTATACTGCTCCTTCTTTTAATCATCTCATCCTTCTGCTTGCTTAGCGTGTACTGTATTTTGATTCTAGCAGTAGGGTTAGATACGTTGAACTTTTTGTATGGCTGCCCAGTTTCCAGTCTCCACAGGATGAGCTCGCCTACGTAGGAGCTAGTTGCCAGGGTTTCCGGAATTTTCACAGCTGAAGCGCTTATGTCTTCAGTATGACGTAGGTCCCAATTTTTGCTATAAAAGTAGACAATTGAACCGATCGAAATTGAACAGAAATGATACCAAATGCTCCTTCTACCATTAATAAGAATAATAATAATTTACATCTTTCATAACTCAACTTAGCTTAAGCTACTCTTACACTTAACAGAGGACTACGCATTAAACATTTGAAAAATGAGTTCCAAAAGTTCACATTGGACCTAAGTGATCCCATGATTAGTTTCTAAGAAATTGGGGGAGGAAGTTTACGGAAACGGTGGATTTGTCTATTGCAGTTCTCAGAAAACATGGTCAGCGAATTATCATACCGAAAAAGGAACTTCATTTAGAAACCTTAAAAGTGAGGAGTGTCGGAAGGTGTCATGTTGATCTTGGCCGCGATCCTTACAAGGTCAATTTAAGGGCAAGCTTATTATTATACGTTGGCACTGAAATGGGTCTGACAGGACTTTTTCGACGATTCAAAAGAATTCAAGCAAGATTTCGCTTCACAAGGACACGGACAAGTCGTGATGGCTGTTTTTGATTATGTCCGTTACAATGTCAATTCAGGATCATATTGATGTTGACGGCGAAAGAGAAATAAACGGCAAACTAATGTGAACTTTAAAGTATTGTTGAATACTAGAGCTTTTTGTTTTCGTCTGATTCCGGCCTATCGAACGGCTCCGGTATTATGTAACTTATAAGGTAACATTATATCTACTATTTATGTCAATATGTAGCTTTCTCTGAAAACTTGTCGCCTTGGAACGAGGGGATATTGATTCACTTCATGTTCAGTTGTAGTAGCTGTGTTTGTTGTCTGAACATCATGGCATCTCACCTATATGGTTTGAATCTGATGTGATGTAACCTTTGCTTCAGAGATGGCACTATTCGATGCTCTTTACAACTTCTATGGTCTAAGCCGCAAGTTCTAATCTATAGGTTGTCCTAATCCTCCATAGGTGGCGCTCACAGCGAGCAAGCGCGGAATGGGCGAGTGACTACTCAGTATACAAGTTGAATGAATGAATGAATCGAGAAATTAGATGCATTCCGGCCACCATAAGGAGCCAATGCATAGGCCGCTTAAACTGCAATATGATTAATATTAAAGTGGACGTTAAGATAACTGATACCTAATTTTTATCCCAGAGTCTTACATTTTCTAATTAGTACTAAATAAAAACAACTTCCGGTCAATCATTAGCTATAGAATTCTGTTCATCAATATCAGATTCACTAATTATTATTTATTGCGCTTCCCTTATTTTTGAACCGTCTCATCAAGATATCGCTTTCACTGTCCGAATCACTATCACTTCACTATCCTTTTTTTAAATAATTTTATCATAAATTGGTTAAACATAAATAACCTAAAATTGAATACTTCTAAAACAAAATGTATGCTAATAGGGAAAAAATGAAAATACTATCACAAGAGAAGTGGTGAAATAATTGAAAATGTTGAATCAGTTAGATATTTAGGTATACATATATATATATATATATATATTGACAGTAAAATAAAATTTCAGGATCACTATGAATTAATTATTTCAGAAATTGCCGAAAAAACAAATTACTTTTATAGGGCTTCTCATAGTTTGGTACATATTCCAAAAAAATTCATTATTCTACCGCATTTTCTACATTGTTCAATTATCGTGTTCACTGCAAATGAAGCTGCATTCTCAAAATTACACTTCCTGCAAAATAAAGCTATGAGAATAATATTAAATATAAATAAGTGCACCAAAATAAAATCTATATTACAAAAATTGCAGTGGTTGAATATAAAAAATTTCATATCATACTTGGTTCTTATTTTAATATTTGAAATAAGAAATCATCTTTTGCCACAACATTTAGAACACTACATAGAATCAAATAATCATTACCACAATTATTATACAAGAGGAAGAGGAAGATTTTCATCTACCAAATTGCAATAGTAATATAGGTAGCAAATGATTTCAGAAAGGATTACTTGAATGTAATAAACTAAATTATGATATAAAGTCTACTTGTAATTTAAAGATGTTTAAGAGAAAATTTAAGGAATATTTCATGGACAGTGAAAAATCGTAGAGATACACATTTTGCTTTTTTATGTAATTGTTTAGTCTTTTTAATGTAATTGTAGCAATCATGCAAAATGAATCTTAAACAAACAAATTAAAAAGCTTTATCATTTTTTTTTTCAAAAAATGTATTGTGTGCATTTTGTTGTGCGTGTTTTCTTCAATCTTAGCTCATTCACAAATACGAGTATTAGTACAGTTCTGAAGCTGAATGTCAAAATTTCACTATTATAATATAATTGAGCGAGTGATTGCTTCTATTCTTATCGCTTTTACCTTTCGAAAAATATTTCCTTGAAACCTCATTTTGGAAGAAGACTTTTTGATGAGAGCAGTCCGAAAGAAGTAATCACCCGCACAATTTTTCCATAAAATTGGAATATTGACATAAAATTTTAGAGCTGTATTATTATTTGTTAACAGGTTACGACTGAAGCAAAAATGCATAAAAATCCACATAAATGCATTTTTTTACAAACAAAGAAACAGATAACGTTGTTTTTTTTTTCATTTCTATACACACCATGAAAGACGAAAAGTTTTAAGAATACTCCTCCAGGAAGGCTTTTGAAAAAAGGGCACCAAACGTCAAGGATCGAGCTCGTGTGCACATTCACCATGTTTGTAAATCGACAAACTTCACCCTCCTATTGCTCGGATACTAATCATAGGATTGCTTGCAAACCAAGCGACGCACGAATCCAAAAGGATAACACAGGCGCCTCAGAGGCCAGTTCCAGTCAAACGATCCAAATCCCAACTAAAAGGAAGTTCGGGTTCTGTACTACATGTTTGATGCAGTAGTCAATAGAATTTAGTATCGAATTTTAAAGGCCGTATCGTCAGTCGTTCCTACAATAATTGTAGAACGCCTTTATTCCCACCTTGATTTTCATAGTTTTATCTCTCTTTCAGAAAAGCTGGGACATATCCGTATTTTTTCTGTTCTGTGTCAGCGTCACACTATTGTGATGTTATGTTTTCTTTTTGAATTGGAGGAAATTTCAGGCTAATAAAACAGGTATAATATATATATATATATATATACTCGTATATATATAGATAATATAAACCAAAAGCATCAGCAATTTCATGCAAATAGATATTTGTGACATAACCTCAGAAAAGAGCGCTGACACGGAACAGAACTGCGAGTATGAAACTATAAAAATCAAGGATGCCATAAAGCCGTTCTACAATTATTATTGTAGAAAGTGTAGGGTCGACCCACTTGACGGGATTTTTGAATTAATAATCAAGTGCGTCAGCGCGAGAGAGGTAAACAGCTGGCGGCGGTCCCCATGCATAAACCAAAAAAAAAAAGTTATTGGAATTTGTTTTAAAAAAATATTTAAACACTTTTGAAGCAAATTTGTGTTTTGCAACATGCAGATTCGTTGAAATCAGTCACTGAGATTATGCAAAAAATGGGATCAGAATATTTTCCAGGAGAATTCGAAGATAATTCCTGGACTATATACCTATAAGCACCACCAGGTCCAATCGCTTCTCCACTATCAGCAAATTCCGTCACTCTTCTATTCCAGCCCATCGCTAATATTCTTCCTTTCACCCATATGACCGACTGTACTTCTGTCGACGATTTTTCGTTATCAATATTCATATTTCTTAAGCAAGTACCAGTGTTGAAATCCCAAATCTTAAGGGTACCGTCGTGCGCTCCAGTTAACAGTCGAGAAAAGCCTGTTTGGACGGATATGAAAAAAAAGAAACCGGAACTCATTTTAGTAGTAACAAATCAAACAAAAATAGTTGATTTCTTCTAAAATATCTCTCAAACTAGTGAAAAAACAAATGGTTTGTGTAAGAGGGGCCTCTAGTCTCCATATTTATAAGTCACCTTGTTGAGCAAGCAGCTACTATTGAAAAAAACTGTATCACTACACTTACCTGAAAGAGATTATTTTGGAAAAAAGGAATATAATTTAATAATACGTCAGCATGTCCATTAAAATTCTTTTTTTTATACTCCAACCACCTCGAAGGCCTGAGGACTAAACACCCATGGGATACCGTGGGGCTATAGGGAAAAGGGGAACGCCATACGGACTCTGGCGAGGAAACAGGTGTACATGTAACATGCACATATTCTGGCCCCGCCTACGAGATCCGCCGGGTGGTACCTCCGCGTTCGACAGCCAGAGACCGTCTACCACCTACCGACAATCACAACATCCATAGCCAAGAGAAAAATTTCCCTTGGGATGGGAGTCGAACCCGCACAGCGCACGGCGACTGATCAGGAAACGGAAGAGTCTACTACTGCGGCCACCGCTGTTGCCTTTAGCGGCTACGGCCACACTTCAAGTAAATGTAATAACATAATATAACTTAAGGTCTACCTCGGCAGGGGCTCAGAGAAACTGGCAAATGCGGTCAGAGCTATTGAATTATCCAATTTTTTGTTGTATAATTTCTCGGACTGAGCATTAGTTGGCCAGGGAGGAGTCTTTAGTTTGTGGTCACCCGAGAAGAATATCCCGCATGCTAGTCATCAAGAACCTCTGGTAGTTTTCTTCTCTGGTGAATGGTTTGCTACCGAATTGATGGGCTGTCGCATATTATACCCCATCCTACATCAATAGAATGGAGAGCTTCTAGTTTCCACGTCTGGACCAGGTTGCGGGAAAACTATGTAGAGTGTTAGTAGTCTGTTGTTGCAACTAGCTTTGAACATCTACGATATATATTCTAAATATTTACTTCGACGAGGACGGAACATAATTACATGATCAATCGAAATTACCTGTATTTGATATTCGATCTTAATTATGTGAAGTCCTCGTTGAAGTAAATAGCACCCTCCCTCCATAATGTATCAATCCCACAATTGTTACAACAACTTGGCTTTGAAGTAAATGAAGGTGGCCATAGGAGGAATGGTAGGGGGAAGGGGCGCGGACTTCACATAATTAAGATCGAAGATCACTTAGAGGTAAGTTCGTTTGATCATGTAATTATATATCACTTTTCCTGTGTATATGTGCAAGTGTAAAGACAATAAAATAACTATACATATATATATATATATATATATATACAGGGTGTCCGCAAAGTTGCGGTTTTCCTTTACACGACGTGTAGATCTTGAAAACATAAGCAATTTTTCTTAGTACCGTATACACCAATGTCTTAAGGGAACCGAGATAAAGGGCTCTGCAACATCAAAAATATCTTAATACCGTCCTGTAGCCGCGACCCGCGACATCGCCGAGTGGTACACGGTCACTGGCTCAACCCGACGACAGAACTGGGTCGGGGTCAGTGTGTCAGGTCAGTATGTAACCTTCAACCGACGGTTACGGTCACGAGTGTAGAGGTAAACGAGCCCGTATAATCGATTGCGTTTCAAAAAAAAAATAATAATAGCACACTCATACACCAATAATGAACTCGTTGATATGTTGTTAATTTATGGAGAATGTCTCCAAAATGCTACAGAGGTTTCGCGAGTGTATGCAGATCGTTTCCCTAGATGACATCATCCAAGGCCCCGCAGATTTGTGTACCTGGTCCAGAGAGTCAGCGATAGGGGCCATTTGGAGGAATTTCGAGGTGGGCACAGTGGGAGGCCTAGACAACCACGAATGGTGCAAGTTGAGGAAGAACTACTGAATCGCGTAGACGAGAATCCCTCAAAAAGCACTAGAGACGTGGCTAGAGAAGTGCAAGTATCAAAAACTAAAGTGTGGCAAACGCTGCGTGAAGAGGGGCTGTATCCGTTTCACGTCCAACGTGCACTCCAACCTGACGATTTTCCAGCAAGAGTGCGGTTTTGTCAGTGGTTGTTGCATCAACATGACAATAATCCGGACTTTTTGAAGTGCATATTGGTGACAGACGAATCTACGTTCACGCGTAATGGGGTGAATAACTTTCGCAACACTCATGTTTGGTCAGTAGAAAATCCGCACGCTGTCCGTCGGGCACATTTTCAACAAACATTTTCGGTGAATGTTTGGGCTGGCATGGTGAACGGTATGCTCATTGGACCATTTATTTTCCCAAATCGATTGGACGGGATGCAATACCTAGACCTTTTACGCAACATTTTGCCTTCCTTGTTAGAAGATGTGCCATTAAGTGTAAGACAATCAATGTGGTTTCTGCACGATGGTGCACCGCCCCATTTTAGACGCGAAGTGCGTGAGTTTTTGAATGAATTATTTCCGAATAGGTGGATCGGACGTAATGGACCCGTAGCGTGGCCTCCGCGATCTCGAGACATAATACCATGTGATTTTTTTCTTTGGGGAGAAATGAAACGCTTAGTGTACAAAACTGGAGTGCATATGGTTGACGAACTTCGTCTCAGAATTGAACAAGCTGGTGCTTTCATTCGGGGGAGGGACTCCATTCTCAAAGCCTGCACCTATGCTTGGCTACGTCGTGCACGCACCTGTGTTTTTGAATCAAACGGCGATAACTAACGAACAATACCTATAAAGTACGTTTACCTAAAAACTGAAAACGCGGCAACGCCGTCATATTTGTTACCTCTGTTCGTGGTCTGCACCACTGCCTGCGTCTGCTCGGTAGCGCATCAGCTGATTTCATTTTCTGTTGGAGCGGTATGATTTCGGGCAGAGACGTACTTAGCCCTTCTCGTCAACTGGAGAGTGAGTACTTTTTCCTTTTTTTTTTGCTTGGTCGCCCTCGTTTCACTACACATTACCTTTGTTATTTCAAGGGTAGTTGTTTCTGAAAAGGACAACCCCAACTTTGCGGACACCCTGTATATATATACAGGGTGTTCATTTGAAAACTGCCCACCACGAATTTATCGAAAACCACTGAAAACCACTGATTAAAAGAAAAAACGCCGAGACACGTCAAAGATTTGTCAAACCAACACTACGTCATCCCCTTTCAAATTTCAAATTACAAGGGGTATCGAGTACTAGCTTGCTTGAAAAGTCATGCAAAGTCCTTTATTTTGACATTTGATTTTTTTAAATCGGTCGATTCGTTTAAAAGAAAATTAGAAAAATCATTATTTACCTTAATTTGTTCAGACACACTCAATTTCACTTTTTATTTCAATAGGTGGCTAATAACCATAGACGTTGACGCCGTCAAAAAAAAAAAAAATAGGTGTTCAAAATGTTGCCCGTTATTGTCCAAACAATGGTATAGGCAATGTTCAAATTCCTGACGGGCATTTTCAAAAAGATGGTGTGGGATATCATGGCAACTTTCGATGATGCGTTGTCGAAGTTCATCCAAATTTTTAGGATGGGGAGTGAACACAATTGATTTCAATTGGCCCCATAGGAAAAAGTTTGATGGCGTCAAATCAAGATCTATCTGGCCATTCTATAGACCCTTTTCGCCCTAGCCATTTAACTGGAAACTCGTCGTCTTGCCATTGCAGAACCGGAAGAACTTGTTGGAAATATATGGCCCAATCACTTTATCAGTTTATTTCTTGAAATGCCTGTACATACATTATTTTTTGGGGGCACTGGGCATTCCCTTATATATAAGAATGAGGATTTAAGTTGCTCCAATACCTGCAGTTATGCTTGTTAACAAATCAATTTAGATAAAATGTGCATTCGTCGCTGAAGCAGATATTCTTTACATGAATGGTGTTATCATTAATCGCTGCAGTCATTTGTTCACAAAACTCAACTCGCCTATCTGAATCGTCTTCGCTTAACTCTTGCAATAGTTTAATTTTGAATGGATGAAATTTATGGAATTTAGTAAGTGTGTATACTTAGCCTAATGAAGTACCAGACGCAGCAACAATTTTGCGTAATAAAGTAGTAGTATTTATTCCAAAATGACCCGAATCTTTCACTTGAGCGGCTTCATCCAAAACTCTCCAATGATCACGTTTTTTATTTGCAACAGATCCAGTTTGGGTAAATTTAGTAATAAGGTCTAAAATATACCTTTGCGAAGTTATCTTCTCCGGATGTCTGGCGTTAAACGTAACGGCAGTTTGCCGAACACATTGATTTTGGGCACCATAAATTAGAATCATTTCCACTCTTTCGGCTAGTGTGTAAACCATTTTGGAAGTGAAATCTGAATCAATAAATTAATTGTCACTATCCCAAGATTGTCAAAAAGGTAACTGACAGCAAATTAAATTCTTTCTTTCCCTTAGCGACAAATAACTTAACAGGTACAGAATAAATACAGGATATCTGTTTTGATGAAAACAATGCGGAAAAAAATTCGGGTTGTTATATGCTTGTTGCCACATCTAATCTTCCGAATTGTTGGTTATGTTGGTAGTTTCCATTTTAAATTATAAACGAATTATAGATTTTGAAAATCCCATTTTGAACACTTATTGAAATAAAAAGTGATATTTTCGTATGTTTTTTTCTACCTAAACAAATTAAGATAAGATTTTGAAAAATGAAACGTCAGAATTAAGGACTTCGAAATACCTTTCAAACAAGCTATCACTCGATAGCCTTTGTTATTTACAATTGCTAAGGGGACGACCCTGGGGGGCAGAGGGTGAAAGAGGGTAAATTAGCTTTTGGTTAAAGAGTTGGTCCCCTTGACAAATCTTTTGACGGCCTCTTCGGCCTTTTCGATTTTAATCAGTGGTCCGTGTTAGGAAGTATTCAAGTGAACACCCGTATTGTATATACAATGTGTTTGGTCACGACATACCGACTGGTATTTTTCAACTATTTTTATAGTCAAATCCACCCCCTACAATGTCATACCTCATCCCCCTTGAAATGGTAGCCATTTTTATTTTTACGTTACGACCACCGTAGTGCATGTATGAATATTGTAATAACTGAGTACGTAAGTATCACAGAATGATAAATTTGATGTCATTTGAACGATGACATATCCTAGCGATTATTGAAAAACTTGTTTTGCTACTAACCGTCAAACATACTTAAAAACAGACAGAAACAGAAAAAAATATGGAAGAAAATTGATTATTTTGTGCAGTTTCACACACCATTCAAAAACTAGTCTGTCAAGTTGTACTTTTTTGTGCTAATTCTACAGCTTTTTGTTATCCTAAGTATTCTACGTTAAGCAATAAATGCTATCTAACATAAGTAAATAGGTGTAATAAAATGCAAATTGTTTTCATACTTTTTATACATAAAAATGACAAATAAATGTTTCGTATAGAGAGTTGTTCTTAAAACAATATGTCCTGTTGAGCGGCAGGCCATATCCATGTCAGCCCTAATTTCGTTCACAGCGGTATGGATTCATTTCAAGGGGGGTGAGGTAGGACATTGTAGGGGCTGGATTTGCCGATAAAAATAGCTGAAAGATATTCGCCTCAAATATCGATATGTCATGACCAAACACATTGTATATTGTATATATAATATTAGTATGCATGTAACGTATCTCGGTATATTTCTTTGAAGGAAAAGCACAGGAATAAGTCTATTGATGGAAATCAGTAAAGCTTTTTAACAGCAACCCAGTGCTGTTACATCAAATTGCAAAAGAGAGATATGAGGATCATATGTTATTGGGATCTACCAGAAGCACATAATAAGTGTTTAGTATAAAAACAGTTGGGAAGAAATAGGGTGTTTTACTCGGTTGTCAAGTATATTGACTATTCACCATGTGTTTATTACAGAATGTGGATTCTGAAATCTAATTTGTGTCTCAAAGAACTTACTAAGTAGAATTTTGTACCGCAGTGGCAAAAAGCAACGATCTAAATCTGACTGACCTGTTAAAAAATCAAACGCTACGATATCTATAGTAAATATTCCTACATTCTACTCAACTTAAAAGCAGGTGATATTATAAGGAGCATTTTCTTCACTTTTAATTATTCTCCACAAAAAAAAAAATATGTTCATCAAATTAGCAATCAGTACTTACATCTTTTTCCCCAATTTCTCAGGTATCTTATCATTTACAATCTACGTAATAAATAATTATCCTCAATGTAAGAAAACTGTTCTTGTAGGTGTAACAAATCATTTTTGCTAAAGTTATTTTCTTAAAATAGGTACTAGAGGCCTTTCTTACACAACCAGTAACATTTAGCGAAGGTTGGAGAGATATTTTACGAAAAATCGACTATAGTCATTAGATCTATTACCGCGGATCAAATTTTGATCCTCCAGATTCCAGACCATCCCCAAGATTCATATAACATTTATGAAAAGAACATTTATGAGACAAGTATTTCAAGTTATCAATATATTTAAGTTGACTGATGAAGTCTAGCGTTGCCGTACCGCCGGCGTATGGTTGCCGTAAGGCAGTTAAAATCAACTTATGAACTTTTATTGGAAGACCAAACTTATCGACAGACCAGATGCAGTGTCTTCATTACTTGTAAGACACATCTGATAATCTACGGTATTACTCAAATAAATTACAATATACCAAACAATCTCAAAGGATGTCGCGCCCATTACAAAAACAAAACAAGCTAACTGATATATCGCAACAAACACGAGATTTGCAGGTTCCTTTCCTTGTTTGAATCTCAGCGTTTCGGAAGAATGTTGCGGAATTCCTGTACACAAGCAGTTTAACATCGAGGGCATAATTAAAGTTACGGGAAAAATACGGCAGTGGTGCGGAACGTCAGAGCTCATAAATAGACCTTAAGTGATATCTTCACAATTAAAATGTTTCGTTTGTGATCCATGTCTCATGTTCCCTCGTTTTTTTTTATTATGAATGTTCGACTCTCCTTAATTCTACTGTTTTTGTATCGTATTACTGGTCATACATTTATCATTTATATAATATGGCCAATAAATAAATAAATAAATACTTTGCCGTACAGGTCAGGTTTTCAGCAGCCGGAAGAGGTATTTATCGGGAGACTACTTTAATGTGGGAACACCGATTAATAAACGTGATAACGGAATCAACCCTCGTTTAAGTAAGATACAGAATTTTTATCCAGTATTCCTAGCCTTACCCGGATCAAACGTAGCAGCAGTGATTTCAACAGGAATCACTTCTCCATGTAGCATAAGTGTATGAGCTTCTTTCACTACAAGAAGCCTTCTTCCATCCCAAGGATCCCACACAATTATATAGCTATCAAGTCCACATGTCACTATTGTCTGAAGAAGACAATGGCGTTATTAAGTTATAAATGATTATCTTTCATATATAACACAAAAAAAATAAATGGATCAAGTGAGCTTAGCAGGCCCATACAATCTTATACCGTAGCAGCCGCGCAGGCAGAAACCTAAATGACAGGACACTGCGGCTACTATAAGAATCTCAAATAAATTTTGATAATCCGACTTTTGAGCTGTCTAAGGTTGATAAAACTGGAAAAAGCTTCCTCTTGTAGATTGTTTCACAATTTCGACACCCTCGGGACCAAGGATACGGTACGGCCAGTTCTGGATGTACGAAGTTCGACATCATTAGAATGGCAGATCAAAGGCTGGCGGGTCTGTCTGGCAAGCATATCGCGCGGCGGCATCTTGGAGGAGAGCTCTGAAGAGCAAAGCCCGTTGGTGTAGCGGTAGGAGAGAGCTAAATCGCAGATGGCCCGCCGGTGTGATAGGGTCCTGAGACTGTCTGTTAGAGGAGCGTCAGCCATCTGCAAAGCTTCTTTGGGAACCCATAGGATGGAAGTTCTCATAAGAGGGCATCGCGCCAGAGCTGATCGAACGCATTCGTGATATCAAGAGCAACGACATGCGCTTCATCATAAGACTGGATGAGTTTACTCCACGATTGCATGACGTAAGCTAGGAGGTATCCTGTGGATTGCTGGTGCCGAAAACCGTACTGCCTGTCGCTAATCAAGCCGTGACGTTCGCGGTTGTGCAAAAGCTCGCGATTTATGCACCTCTCCATCACCTTATTTATACCAGAAAGCAGAGCCATAAACCTGTAGTTGTAAGGGTCAGATTTAGATCCTTTTTTTTGAGATGAGTTCGACATGAGCAAATTCCCAGTTTTCTGGGAAGGTGCCGGATTCAGAAGATATCTGGAAGAGACGCGAAAGAACTGCACACCTCTTCAGGACGATGGCAGGAATCAAGTCCGGATCAGAAGCTGTGTTGATGACGAGCGATAAGAGCACGCATCTTACGGTCTTATGCCTGAATGTTACTTCCGCATGAAATAAGGAACCTTTTGAATCGACGGCACTTGAGCTTTGGGGGGGACGTCCATGGTGAATTTGGCACCAAAGATCTTGGTAAGCTTGAGTCGGTTACAATAGTTCCATCATGGTACGCAAGTGGTGGAAGCCTACTCTGGGAAAAGTTCCTTTCAATCTGCTTGGCCAGCGTCCAGAAAGACCGACTGCCTTTTCGCTGCGACATTACCCTGTGCCAAACTTTTATATCATGCTGGTCTTTGCCATTGCGAACCGCTTCTTTATATTTATTTCTGAACCCGACGTCGGCTTGTCTGTAATCTATAATGGGTTTTTGTAAGAAGGTTTTGTGCTTATCATCTTTTGCTGGCGAGCAGTGTCACACGATTTGTTAAATCAGCCGTTGGACCCTGGTTTAGGCACTTTCACTTTATGAGGGATGTATTATCCCATCCCAACGTCGATAATTTCGGTTAGAACTAAAACCGACGCAGAGATCCAGCAGGCTACTGGCATATGACGAGACGCGGGGCAAAAGTAGGGCTCGTCACCAGCTGGGTCAGTCCTTGAGTAACAGCGAACGCTTCAACTGCACGATCTGCTGCATCCGTCTTGTTTGAGCCCAACCAAAGCTCATTATGGGCATTGAAACCACCGATGAGAACTACCTCTGAAGCGGGATGATTGATGTTCAGGAAGTCGATCTTGACAGAGAGGTATTTAAGTAGGTGAACCCAGTTATGGTTCGAGAAAGAGCGATAAAGGCAACAAATAAATTTGGGTGATAATCTAGAGTTGAGGCGAAGCAACAGAATGTCTTTCCGCTCTAATTCCAAGAAAACGTCTCTGGAGCAGGAATGACTGCTGCTAACAAAAGCCACAACTGCCCCGTTCTTTCTCAGATTGGAGTGCACCTCGTAATTTGGGAAGCTAAGATGGTTAAACGGTGCAGACTCTGAGATTTTTGTCTCCGTCAAGAAAAGCATGGTGGGACGATTGGATTGCAAGTAGTGATGAACAACATCAATGTTGCTGTTAATCCCGCAGATGTTGGTGAAACAAATTTTATCCTTCGATGTTGTTCCCTTAAGTCCACTCTCTACCTGGACATTTCGAGACTGAACTGAGTTTACGTCCAAAATTCTTAGCAATCGAGAGATCCATCATCATTAATTCCTTTGTAGGGGAAGATAATTAGTCCTTAGTCCCTCTCATTTGATAATACTGCGATCTAGAAGCTTTCTACCTGCCTTTACTAAAAATATCGATCTGGTAAAGTGTCGCAGGCAGAGTTTTGCATTTTGTGGGTATCTGGGTAAGTTCGTAGGCTACGGCAACTGCTACCTAGACGCGACACGTCCGTTTGATGTTTATCCAAGTTTTAAGAGCAAATGTATATTTTCCCCCAACCCTATAACCCGAGCCACAAATGTTAACCCTCATAAAATGTTTTCCGAAGATGACCAGAAGCCTCTAAAATCTCAGGAAATGACCTTTAAGCAATTTTAATTTTTTCATTTTTGGCCTTTTTCTTGGCCGCCACTGGACCGATAATCAAAATCTACAAAATTTTTTCTTCCTTGTTAGTAAGTTATAGCGAACGTATACGTAAGTGCACAAAATCATGTGTGGGAGACCGACATTTGACCGTTGCCAGAGAGTTGGTATAGATCGCAGCGTTGTCAGATAGGCCAGGACTACCGGTTGATTGTATTTTTTTGCACACATGTTCGTAGCTAATGTTTTCCTCAGAGGGGCTAGCTTATACCGAAGATAATCCTTTATGAACTCATCACAGCATGTCGTAAGAAGTGTAGAGTCAACCTATTTGACGTCATTTTTAGATAAACTATATCGCCATGTTGGAAAATATGGGGTACCTCTTAAGTGCAACCATTGATAAATCTAATTAGCTACGGTGGTCGACAGGTATGTAGGTGAATATATGGTATTTGGCTTTTACGTGTCAAGAAAAATTTTATTTTTTTTTTCATATCCATTATGTCACAAGACTATGGTCCGGCACGAGTATTATGTAAAAAACCCATAAAATGTCCAAAAACTATAAAGTGTCAATCTGCAGACTAGGTAGTTTTTAGGGTGCAAACAGTCATTTCACGTTTGCCCACCAGAATCGTTGTCAGCATCCGTCTATGGAAGAATGACTCAACTACACGCATTGTTGGTTACATATGTTTTGTGAAGCCGAGTAGTCTGTAGCTTTCATCTCTGAGAAGAAAGTCGGTTGAATAGCAAGATCGAATCTGGATGATTATGTTTGTGTATTGGTCTGCATGTGTAAAAAGTCAGTGATATTTCCTGTGTGAGAACATCATTACTGAATATGCTGCCAATGAATTATATCTATTAGCTGTGCCCGACGGGTTATTTATATGTTGGTCTCTCTGAAGAGAGGTTATAAATTACGATTCTTTACTTTTTTTGAGTTTTAAAAAACTCCGACGAGAATTACTGGAAATCACATCGCGCTGCGTTGTGTGTGATTACTGTTAGCAAGTAGATGATTTGTAATTTGACAGTGTACATTACAGTTAATATAATTATTTCTTATCTGTCTCATTTTTAAAATTTAGCAAATATGCATATGTAATTTCCAGAATGGATAAGAAAAAGTGGATGCGCAACTAATTTATAGGTTTGAATCTCAAATAAGTGTATTTGAGACAAGAATCCAATCATCAACGCATATTATTAGCACACAAACACTCACTATGTACCTATGCATTGCCGTTTCCTTCTAGCTATAGTATACAACTTACAGCTTAGACCTCCAGTAGTGTCATCTCTGAAGCAGATTTTACATCACATCAAAGTCAAACGTTGATAACTGAAGCATCATGACGTATAGACAACACGTACAACTACAAAACGAGTTCACAAGTGTCTATTAGCTAGTGCTAGGTTAACGTCTTGTAGAAAAGCCTACATAATGTCACAAAAAATCCATTCAATGTCCAAAAAATCGACATAATGTCACTTTTAGGATACATAATACCCGTCGAGGTCTTGTTAAAATAAAGTTGATATAGATAATATTATGACAGAAAATTAAAAAATTGATGAAGGGGAGAAACTGGAAAAAAATAATCAAACTATAACTTACGAGTCTTGAGAGTAGAAAACAACCTCTAGTCAGTCACTGAATTAGCAGAGGTTTGTTTTATGATACAAGATGGAATAATTTCGTTTAAGTGTCCACCTATAAAAATTTTTAGTTTTATATTGGAAAGCTGACGACTGACAGTATCAAACAATATTTTGATTTTGGCTTTAATAAAAATCTCAAAGTGACAGGCGATCATTTAGGAAGGATGAACTATCACCTGGAAGAAATTTATAAAACTACTATCATTATTGCCATTGTATTTAAAGAAGGCCGCCGACGCACATTAACAGGAGTTTAAACATATATTATGTAGTTTGATTCGGCCAGACAATGGAGTACCATGATCATGAAAACCACAGGATAATTTTCACGAGTATTTGTCGATTTGCTAGAGATTTTTTCTTGCAGATCATTGAAATCTCAAATACTGTATATTCACCCTTATAGCCTGATAAATATCTTTAACATAGGACCCTAATGCAACGCGTAAACTTCGCAAATCCCTTCTTGGTACATCACATGATTAGGAGAAATAATCTCAAAAATATGTACCTACACATAATATAGAGATGGATTCTTACTAAACCTAGACCATTTGCATCAGAACTAGTTGATCTAAACAATAACTAAACAGTGTTTCTTCTTCTATCACTTTGATTTGTTCAGAGCTGACACAGTTTGAATTATTTTCTTTCAAATATTAAAATATAAGCATCAAACAGTTACGGTTGTTTATAAGATTCGATTATCTTTCCTGATGTGAATTAATTAAATTAAACAATATTCAAATCTGTGCACATATCCCAGTATATGTTATACAGGGTCTTCATTTGGAAGCTTCCCAAAAACATTTATTTGTTTTAATTTGTTCAGATAGAAAACAAAAACACACGAAAATGTCACTTTTTATTCCAATAAGTGCTCAAAATGTTGTCCGGTATTAATCAAACGATGATATAGGCGATGTTCAAATTCCTGATGGACGTTTTCAAAAACAAGTTGTTGGTCATAGCAGCTTTAGATGATGCGTCGTTCATCCAGACTTTCAGGTTGGGGAGTGAACACAATAGCTTTCAAATGGATCCATACAAAACACTCTAATGATGTCAAATCAGGAGATCTAGTCATTCTATAGGCCCTCTTCGTCATATCCATTTATATGGAAACTCGTCGTCTAGTCATTACCGAACCAGAACAACATAGTGAGGAGGAGCGCCGTCTTGCTGGAAATATATTTCAGTCTCATCAAGCTTAGGATTTCCATCATCTTCGATATGGTTTTCAATGGTTTCAGTGATAAGCGGATTGATGGTATTTTCCAACATATCTAAATAAATGTCTCCATTCAAATTTCCATTAATAAACAATGGCCCAATCACTTTATTTCCTAAAATGCCTGCCAATCTATTAATTTTTTGGGGGTACTTGGTATGCCCTTCTTCACATGAATGGTATTATCATTAATCCCTGCAGTCATTTGCTCACAAAACTCAACTCGCCTATCGAAATCATCTTCGGTTAACTCCTGCAATATTGAAATACGATGGATGTCTTTTAAGTTTTGCATATGGAAATAAAACAACACGGTAGGTAGTTTTAAATGACTTTATTGTTTTTCAAGGTATTCTCCACGAAGATTAATACACATCTGAATACGCTCGAACCAATTTTCGAAGCACTTATTCCACTCGTTTGCTGGCATATCCAAAACGGCATTTTTGAATGCGTCAACTGCTTCTTCTGGTGACTGGAACCTTTGACCACGCAGTCTCTTTTTAATTTTCGGGAAAGTAAAGAAATCGTTAGGACTAAGATCGGGACTATATGGAGGGTGGTCCAATAATTCCACGTTTTCTTCCATTAAATACTGCCTTATTTTTTGGGCCGTGTGCGAGCTTGCATTGTCTTGGTGGAGGATGATTTTTCTTTCGGGGTTGATTTTTCGAAGCTCGGTGATGACTTTTGGCAAACAAGTGGTGGCATACCAATCCGCAGTAACAGTTCTTTGCTCGTTAAGAGGAATTGTTGCAATATGACCCGCTTTTGAAACAAATGTCGCGACCATCTTTTTCGAAACACTTCGAGAACGGATGAATTTTGTTGGCTTTTCTTCACCTTGGAACACCCAAACAGCCGACTGTCATTTATTTTCTGGTTCATAACAGTAAATCCACGATTCATCACCACTAACAATGCTGTACACATTTTTTGAGTTTCCGGAATTGAAACGGTCAAGTGTTTTTTGACACCAATTAACCCTGGCTGCTTTCTGCCCTTCAGTCAACAGGTTGGGTATCCAACAAGAAACTAATTTTCTTACTCCTAATTCTTCATGTAAAATTTTTGGAATTGAGGTCTTTGAGATTTTCAAGGATGCCTCAATCTCGCGATATGTCACATGTCTATCTTCAAAGATGAGTTTGCGCACAGCATCGACGTTTTCCTGGGTCACTGCCGTTTTTGGTGCACCCACCCTGGAATCGTCGCTAAGACTCACCCGTCCACGTTTGAATTCTCCATACCAACGGTAAATTGTCGACTGATGTGGCGCTTCGTTGCCGAAAACAGACAGTAACTCAGCAAGGCATTCTTGTTGCGATAATTGTCTCTGAAACTTGTAATAAATTATGGCGCGAAAATGTTCTCGGTTGAGCTCCATTTTTCTAATGACTTGGTGACACTTAAAGATTCACTGTAGTGAGAACACTGCACGTATTGTTGTGAAACTTTGAATTTAAGTTTACTAAAGAGTGAGGTTAAGATTCAGTACTGACGTTCGATCCGCGTGGGCTACTATGTTTCTATGTGCAAAACTTAAACGACATCCCTCGTATTTTCATTTCAATGGATGAAATTTATGGAGCATAGTAACTGTGTGCCTAATGAAATATCGGTCACATCAACAATTTTGCATAATGAAGTATTAAGAGTAATTTCAAAATGTCTCAAAACTTCAACTTGAGCGACTTCATTCAATAGTCTCCGATGATCACATTCTTTATTTGCAGCAGATCCAGTTTGAGTAAATTTAGTAACAAGGTCCAAAACATACCTACGCGAATTTATCTTCCCTGGATGTCTGGCGTTAAACGTGATGGCAGTTTGCCGAGCACATTGATTTTGGGCACCATAAATTAGAATCATTTCCACTCTTTCGGCTGGTGTGTAAACCATTTTGGAACTAATATCTGAATCAATAAATTAATTTTAACTTTCCCAAGGTTGTTACAAAGGTAACTGACACCAAATTAAATTTTTTCTTCTTTCCCTTAACAATAAATATCTAAACAGTATAATGACTAATTGAGTTCGCCCTGGATATCTGTATTGATGCGGAAAACGGGTTGTTATTTGGTTGTTGCCACGTCTAATCTTCCGAATTGTTGTTTATGTTTTAAATTATCCGTTTTAAATTATAAACGAATTGTGGATTTGGCAAACCCTAACGGGCAACATTTTGAAAGCTTATTTATTCTGAACAGATTAAGATAAATATAGATTTTTCGAATTATCTCGAAAACAAATCGACTGATTTCAAAAAATCAAACATCAAAACAGAGGACTTGGAAAAACCTTCCCAACAAGCTATTACTCGATACCCCTTGTCATTTGAAATTTTCAAGAAAATGAGCCTTGGTGTCGAGGGTGAAAGGGGGTGAAGTAGTTTCTGGTTAAGAAGTTGACTCTCTTAACAAATCTTTTGACGTGTCTCAGCGTTTTACCTTTCAATTAGTGGTTTTTGATCTATCCGTGGTGGGAATTTTTCAAATGAACACCCTATATGTATAATGTTTATGTGAATCTTTAGGTAATGAGTGTTCAATATAAGTGTACATCCATGCACAAGCGTAGCTTCACTGGCTTTTTATTTATTTTATTTTTAGCGTTTGTAGCATTTCTTTGTAGTTAAATAATGGATAACCATTACTACTACTGCTACATACATTATACGAAAAGAGTCAAGACGTGAGCACTGGCATTTGTTACAAAAATTTGGAGACAGTACTACAGCACCTAGCCTACTTAACTCATTTGTTCTTCCTAAGTCGGAGGAAGCTATTTTGATCTTCAGTACAACCATTTCCGATCAAGGGAGTTTGTAGAGCGTTGTCTTTTTAGAGCTACCACAGTTTTAATATGCTTAGAGCAGTGGTAGCTTCTCTCTGAGTTCTGGATGTAAATTACTAGGTATCTATTGCATTTATTTTGTGATTGTGAATTTGCATGTACTGCATTTCAACGTTCCTCGCCATTAATTGGTTTGCAAACTGTTCGTGGTGTAAATAAATAAATAATTAAATTAATAAATAAACAGCATAGATCGTTGTGTGGATTAGCAGCTGACGGCTCCACAGTACATATGATTATTTCTGTGCGGGAACGGCTTTCACTAGGATTGGGTATCTTCTGGTGGCATATATTAGTGGCATACACTTCCAGACGGCTTGCTGTTTCCACTTTTGCAGTGGTCGATTCTGGTAATAGATGGTACTTTGTGCTGTCTTATTCTAATAAATCCTATACTCTAAATAGAGAATAGTTGCTGTGCTTTTGTTCGTTGTCCACCGAGACGAAACCTACACCATGCTGAAGAGTTGCCAAATAACATGAAACAACTGTTTGTGGCTGGCCGTATGTGATCGGGCAAACGAAAGCTATATGACTAGTCTATGCTAATCAATGGTGCAGCCATTCGTACGTACCTTAAAGAGTTTATTGTATAAGATGCAAGATATACTACTGGTGTGGGTGTGTCCATCTGTATGTTCAGAACTCTGTTTGGGACTTAAAGGTAATACTGCTATCATGATGCTTCCAATAATCCATTGTCTACTTTCCTGGTTGTACAAAGTGGTTAGTTCATTACGTTCACCGAGCTGTGCTGGTATCTCCAGATACGTTTGGCAAATAGATTGTACACCTACGTCCCAAACCTAAATAAGATAATTAAGAAAAATATGTGGTTTGTAAAGGTCTTTACCCACCATACCGTATCATACTAGCATCGTGTAACGAGAATAGCGAAAATTTGCTAGTGATTCCAAGCCATTTGTGCAAGATTAGCGGTATCTATACAACTTGGTACGAACGTTTGGAAGGCGACGGCACCTCATATACATATCGTGGATATTGAAATAAATTTAATATCAATCAGTTTTTTGGAGGAAAAGAAGGGAAAGGTTCTTTTTGAAGATTTTCAACCAAAGCATAGTAGCAGTAATCGCTCCTATAGCTAAGTCGCAACAAAGTACTTAAAATTGTTTGTCAATGGATTACTTACCGAATGGTTTTATATACGCAGTAACATTAGAAGTGTTACACACAGAAAAATAATATTTCTTCAACTTTCTTTAACAACATAATGACTATATTTAAAGCGTGCTATGGCAACTTCGTTAAAATGTTGTCTCTTAGATTTTCGATGACGTCCAAATTATCACCATGTTAGCGACTTTGGCATGGGTAGAATTATTGCCTATCGAGATGTTGGTTTGTCCTATCGCGAGATCGGCCACCCTGTTAATTGTACTGCAATTACGGTAATGCGTGTGTGTCGTGTGTGGATAGAAGAAGGTAGAGGGACACGAAGAAGGCCAACTGGTCCATCGAGGCGTAACACAGAGCGTCAAGGTAGGCGCTTCAGACAACTAGCCCTACGAGACCGTCAGATCGCTGACCAATTGTTTAGAGAAGAAGGTAGACCTCTTGCTATGGGTACACTCAATCGCAGCACTCGAGCCTTTGGATTTTTTTTATTTCGTCCTACCGTCCACGTTTAGTCCTTCCTCTGACTGGGGACCATTGTCGTCAACGTTTGAACTGAAGCAGAGAACGGCAACACTGGGAGGCAGAATGGCATAATGTCGTCTTTAGCGACGAATCGCGAAGAAGGATAAGACGCCTCCGTGGCGAACGGTGTGATATTGGATTTGCTGTTGAGAGGCATGTACACAGGACTGTTGGAGTAATGTTTTGAGGGGCTTTTGCCTATAATCGTCGATCTCACCTTCTCTTTGTTCAAAGCAATATGACTGCTGCGCGCTATGATGATGGTGTCCTATAAACCGCCTTACTGCCGTATCTAGAGGGCCATCCACACGTTCGTTTCTAGCAAGACAACCTACGTCTCCATATTGCTCGTCATACGAACTTTCTACAAAAAGCAGGCGATAACGTTTCGCCGTGGCCACCCCGTTCACCCGATTAAAATCTCTTCGAACATGTGTGGGATATGATGGAGAGGAGACTATCCACTTTGCACCATCCGCCACTGACTCTGATACAGCTAATCCATGAAGTTTGAGTTACTTGGAATAAGGTGCCACAACCAGACATCGATCAAATCATTTTGTCGATGCCTAAACGTATACAGGAGTGTACTCAGCTGCGGGGTCGCCCAACACATTAATTATTTTATTATTGCTTGTCAATAATTTTCCTTGAAAATGTTATCGTTTCATTTTTGATGTAAAACCACCTCATTGCCAAAAAATCAAGTAGGAGAAATTATTTTTTCTGGGTGTAACACTTTAAAATTTCTCTAACTAAACAGTGGGAGTATGTACAAAGTTCCGGATAGGCAAGGTATCCGCATACGTTTAAGAGCTATGATTAAAGTAAGATAGGGTTTATGTTTTTCTGATGGTCAAATTGATTTTTTGCAAGGAAAATTTTACATTCAGATAACATCTTTAACGGAAACTATTTTAACCTTGAATCCATTATAATAGGGTCATATTTAAAAAAATTGGTTTAACCTTAATTTGATTATCAAGGTCAAGGCCAAATCTAAGGTCACTGCATGCCCAGAGGAAATTTGTAAGCCCCTGTTTCACTATTATCATAGCCCTGAGTATGTTGGTGTTTCGGAACTTTTAGGTCACCTTGAATAGCGGTATGACGTAAAAAGCTTGGCTTCAAGTAAGAAGCTACTGATCTTAGATGAAATTGATGCATGACAAATTTTTGGACGTCCCAGGTTCCCAAGGCGGAAGCTAAAATTTGATTATCTAAAAAAACGACTGACTTAACCTTTATGCATTTGTCCTTGGAAAGACTGTAGAGGAACTTCGCATCCTGGATGACCATTCTGACAATACCAGTGTGGTGTCCGTAGAAGGTGCAAAGGGGCCGCTTAGGCATGAATGGATTCCACAGTCGCACCTGGCAGTCGGGACCGCCGGTTGCGACCAAATGCGCTCCTCTGCCCAGAGTGAAGCACCATACGCCCGAAACTACTTTGAACACGTTCATTTTTCTTTCTTCGCCGATATCCGTCATCAACATACCCCTTTTGGGACATTGGGCACAGGACACCACGGAATGGAAAGCAGAGTAGTACTCTACTTGGCGGACGTAGTCACTATGCAGGCACCCAAGGTCTGAAAAGATAGGTACAAGCTTTTACGCCTCATGCTTATGGGCTACACCGCAAGCGGTAGGCTCAGTGATGGCATAATGAGTAAGGTGTTGAAGTCAATGCCATAGGATTTTAGGTAATGATGAGATGAGCTACCACAAAAATAACGCAAGATTTGGTATTCTCCTAGGAGGTACAGAGTGGAGCAGGGCAAAGGTGGCTTGAATTATTTACAGGGTGTTTCAGTTTATTGTTGCATAACTTTAAGATTCGATAGAACTTTTAAAATTAATACATAAAGTCTATATAAACATGGGTCGAAAAATGCGTGGCTTCCGAAATACAGGGTGTTTAAATTTACTTTTTAAAATAGTTTTTTTTAAATATTTCGAACACTATTTGATGTATAACAGTGGTATACAGGGGTTTTTTGGTACGACAAACCGAACCATGGGCATAGTTTTACTGTAGCCGGTAGTGGGCGCTCTCTACTGTACCTGTAGTGAATTAAAATGACCGAAAATTTTTTCTTAGTGCAATTTTTTGCTTTTTGAATAAAAAAACTGATTCTTCGCACTTTTCAACATAAAAAAGCTCTCTTGTGAATTTTCGTTATAGTTAGCCGTTTTTGAGATATTTCGATTTTTAAGGTTCGATGCATTTTTAATTATTTATGATAAAATGACGTTAAAAAGTCAGTATCTCGATAATTTTTAGAAGTAGACTGTGCCTGCAAATATTTTTGAAATTGAAAGCAGAATAAGGTTTAACGTCAATTAGTTGACAGTTAGTTTTGTTGTCTGTTGAAACCTGAAACGTTTTTTTGCAATTGTGAACACGAAATTTAGTTTCTGTCTTATAAAAATGCCATTTTTACTCTCCAATCAAGAGTTAGCGGATATTCATTTTGTGTATGGCTTTGTAAATGGAAACGCAGCAGAAGCAGCCAGAGAATACGCACGAAGATGTCCAAACAGACGACATCCAACTTGCTCAGTATTTGTAAGAGTGCATCGCCAAATAATTGAAAATGGTTTTGGAAATCTCCAAAGGGATCAAAACATAAATGCTCGTCAGCGCAGGTTTACCCGTATCCGACCACAGGTGTTAGGAGAGTTTCTGGTGCCTTGGGAATTTCAGCAAGCCATGTTCACCGTGTTCGTAGAAATGACCATAGACGTCCTTACCATTTGCAACCTATGCAAGGACTACAGCCAGGGGACGGAGAACGAAGACTCACATTTTGTCAGTGGATTCTTGATAGAACTGATAATAATAAGGAGTTTTTAAGTAACGTTTTATGGACCTATGAGTCATGCTTCACTAGACGTGGAGTGGTAAATTTTCATAATCAACATATTTGGTCGCATGAAAATCCGCATGCAGTTCGGGAAAGAAATTTTCAGCATGAATTTAGTGTGAACATGTGGATTGGTATCTACCGTAATCGACTATTTGGACCCTACCTTTTGCCTGCAAGGTTAAATGCTGCGACCTTCTTGGAATTTTTAAAGGCTGAACATGCAAATATGTGGGATGACGTTATGTTAGATTTAAGAAGATTGGCCTGGTTCCAGCTTGATGGTTGTCCAGCTCATTATTCGAGAATAGTTAGAAACTGGCTGGACGAAAATTATCCAGAAAGATGGATCGGCCGTGGAGGACCAGTCGCCTGGCCTCCACGATCCCCTGACCTAAATCCATTAGATTTCTTTGTGTGGGGATTTCTAAAATAAAAAGTGTACCAGACTCCCGTAACTACAAGAGATATGCTAATAGACAGAATCAGGAATGCATGCGATGAAATAAGGCCTTATTTGAATAATGCTATACCACGTTCGATCATTCGTAGATGTGAATTGTGTATTGAACAATTGGGTTTACATTTCGAGCAACTACTTTAGATGTTGTATGTTTGTCCTAACTATCCAATTGCATTTTAGTTGTAAATAATTAATTTAACTTGTTAAAAATAATAGTGGAAAATTAAACAAATTAATATTCTGTTTTTTGTGTTTATTTGGAGTTAGGAATTATTGCTGTGTTTAAAAACACAATCTAAACGAGCATCTTAATTACTTGTAATGCCCAAATCGAAAGTGTAAGAAAAATATTATTTTCCCATAAATAATTAAAAATGCATCGAACCTTAAAAATCGAAATATCTCAAAAACGGCTAACTATAACGAAATTCACAGGAGAGCTTTTTTATGCAGAAAAGTGCGAAGAATCAGTTTTTAATTCAAACAGCAAAAAATTGCACTAAGAAAAAATTTCCGGTCATTTTAATACACTACAGGTACAGTAGAGAGCGCCCTCTAGCGGCTACAGTAAAACTATGGTTCGTTTTGTCGTACCAAAAAACCCTTGTATACCAATTTTCACTGTTATACATCAAATATTGTTCGAAATATTGAAAAAAAACTATTTTGAAAAGTAAATTTCGGAAGCCAAGCATTTTTCGACCCATGTTCATATAGACTTTATGCATTAATTTTAAAAGTTCTATCGAATCTTAAAGTTATGCAACAATAAACTGAAATACCCTGTATAACGGCGTCATTTTCACCAACTTCATTTGTAGTGCAACTATTGAAAATCCACGAATTTTACTTATTGAGCTATTGGCAACAAACAACAAACTTGAACCTTGGCATTGCGGGATGTCAATGCACCAGACTGACGTTGAAATTATGGAACATTCATGTGAAAGTTTCTAAAAAACACCAGTTTTCATTACTCTCACTCAGAATGGATTAGCCCTGTAAAATTTTGCAATGAAAATTGTGACGATCTAACTATTAAAAACTACACACATTTCAAGGGTGTGATCGACGGCTCTGTTAGGGAGTTTTTTGTGGACAACATTATTTGGCGGAAAGTCATCGGTTTGCTATTTGGAAGACAAAGTTGGGTAGTTAAATTAATATTTCTTAATTACTTGCAATTCATAACCCATTCCAAATTTTTTATTTTTTTAATAAATAAAAACACATAATTACAACTGTTTGTATAAAGGGCATCATACAGTGAAAGCCATATACCACTGGCGTCGCGTCTACAAGAAAGAAGCGTGCAATACGTGGGTTAGAAAGAGATAGATGCACTAGCAAGAAGAGTGACGAGGCCACGGACGGCACCGGCGCATTGTTCCTAACATACATATTATACGTGTTTCGCGATTCTCTCTCGTACACAGTACGACATCGGCCAAATTTGAACCTCACCATAGATGTAAAAGTACTATGGACATAGCACTACAGTTACTAAAATACAAGTACATGATTACACTTCATCTGACCATTAATTAAATTCTCCATTGTTTGCTGTGGTTGGTCCAAAATGAATTTCTTCAATGATTTTTTGAAAGGCTCCAAGTTACTGATATGTCATACATTTGAAAGAAGAGCTTGGGAATAATATATGCATATGAACGCATCCAACACACTTTTGGAAAAAAGGCACGACATTGTGATGTTTTTGCCGAATAGGGTACGGGTGTGTTGGCAGCTTAAAGTCTTGTTTATTACAGAGATGCCTGGTGATAACTTTAAAATAGAACATCTGTAGATGTTTAGGTTCTTTGTTCCACTGTATAAATGATCAGATAGCAGTCTTGACTCTTTAGAATATTTCAATTTTAAAACTCTTGTTTTAGAAGGAAAAATGTGAGTCTTCGAAGCTCCTGCCCCTGCTGTAAGTCATACCATATGTGACTCTTCACAAAAGCGTGATACAATAGTTTTGTCTGTTGGGTTGATAATAGCTCTTTAATACATCGGAGATGAAGTTTGTATGTGTGTCCTACCTCAGATGTTCATCAATAGTAACTTTTGTCTGGTGCTGTGGTATATTGACACACATTTATACTGATATTTAGATCTTTGAACGATGGCTTAGTAGAACTATTGCAGGTTAAAGGAATATAACACATTTTTTTCCCAGTATATTGTTGAAGCCATCGCATTACATTTGGTAGGTCAGCATATACGGTAGGTTTTAGATATTGTCAAGTGTCTGCTTTGTAAAATATAGCGGTCTGCAAATCCAAACATGTCTCTCCAGCCTTAATCCGAAAAGATCTACTTGATATACGTATTTAATAGTATAGGCTGTAGGACGGTGCCTTGGGGTACTCGGTACTGATTCGTTCTCAGATCTCTCACTTGATTATCTACTCTTACAAACTGAGCACGGTTAGATACGTAACTCTCAAAAGGCTTTCGACATTTATCTCTAATGACTTTGTCCCTAGTGATGATGGTGATTCGTGTACAGACAAGGTTTTTGGCGGATCTGTACAAAGCTCCATTGAGATTACTTCCCATCCACAGAAAAACTCGCTTTCTGGGAATAATTACATGGTATCTGTTTACTTTGAATAACAATTCTTGCGAAACTGACTATAACTAAAAAATTCAGTAGCTTAACCCCCCAACAATGTTATACGAAGACAAAGCTTATAAGAAGGATAATCTGAGACCGTGAAAATCTACAGGATGCTCCATTGTAAAAAAGTACATTTGCAGTTATAGTTGAAGCGGGGTATGAATCTGTTTTTTGGACAAAATGCCTTGTCGCCCCAGTAGTAGCGATCCAAACCCTATGTCAGTTTTCACCTTTTGAAAATGCTTTTAAGAATATACTAAAGTACACAGAGTATTCTATTTTGAAAATGTGAACATCTTTTTAGATACATTTTATAGTAATCGAGCTATCGACCCATACCACACTAAAAAATCACTTATACAGTAACCTAGCACATAGCTTAGCTCTTCTGGCTAGGTCTACTACTAATGTAGCCCCAGTCTGTCCAACGTTAAAATTGGAAGGTGAACTCATTTATGGTCTATCTGTCCTCAGCACTTTCAAACATTAGAAGGTTATAAATTTGATGTTTATATTTGGACCACTACCGTTAAGGTAGTAAACATACAATTTTCTTTAACACCCCGCCGATGATGAAATATGTATTTGAATACCTAGCACTTTTATGTCGGGAATTCCACCTTTGACCAGGCGATCATATCTCATCTGTTGTAAAATGACGCCTGGTTGACTCCTGAAAGGTCCTCTAGCATCAGTGTTGATCAGTAGTACTTTGACGTAGCCACCCATGTCTCCAAGTACGAGTTTTGATGGCACCTGGAATGAAAATCGAGCGTTCTAGTCAAGTGGTAGCAATCTCTATGAAAAGTAGAATTTCAGACAAAGTTATCAGGTATACAACATTAAGAGAAAGAGTTCTTGAATAGTATGCCAAAATACCAGCCTGCGGTAGAGCTGTCTGTCCTCAGAACCTACGAGTATTAGAAAACTGGCCTAGTGTGAATGATACTGTGAGATAAATCTTTAGCTCCCTATTCACCGCCTTTCACCTTCTACCCCCCAGGGTCATCTCCTTAAAAATTTTAAATGACAAGGGGTATCGAGTAATATCTTGTTTGAAAGGTCTTCCGAAGTTCATTACTTTGACGTTTTCTTTTTTAAAATCGGTCAATTCGTTTTCAAGAAAATTAGAAAAATCTTTATTTAGCTGAATTTATTTAGATCGAAAACAAAAACATACCAAAATATCACTTTTATTTCAATAAGCGCTTAAAATGTTCCCATATTGGCTAAACAATGATATAGGCGACATTTTCAAAAACATGTAGGATATCATGGCAGCTTTCGATGATGAGTTGAGTTATTCCAAACTTTCATGTTGGGGAGTAAACACAAAAGATTTCAAATGGCCTCATAGAAAAAAGTGTAATGCCGTCAAATCAGGAGATCTAGCAGGCCATTCTACAGGCTCTCTTCGCCCTATCCATTTATCTGGAAACTCGTCGTCTAGCCATTGCCAAACCGGAATAACCTTCGATGGCTTCAATGATAAGCGGATTTATGGTATTTTCCAGCACAACCAAATGAATGTCTCCATCCAAATGTCCATCAATAAACAATGGCCCAATCATTTTGTTTCCTAAAGTGCCTACCCATACATTAAGTTCTTGGGGGTACTGCATTCATCACTGAAGCAGATATTCTTTACATGAATGGTGATATCATTAATCAATAATAACTCAGCTCTCCGATCTAAATCATATTCGGCTAACTCTTGCAATTTATTCATTTTGAATGGATAAAATTTATGGAGTTTAGTAACTGTGTATACAGAGCCTAATGAAATACCAGTCGCAGAAACAATTTTGCTTAATGAAGTATTAGGATTTATTCCAGAATGACCCAAAGCTTCAACTTGAGCGGTTTGATCCAAAACTCTTCGATGATCACGTTTGTTATTTGCAGCAGATCCAGTTTTAGTAAATCTAGCAACAAGGTCCAAAAACATGCATATGCGAAGTTATCTTCCAAGGACGTTTGGCGTTAAACGTGACTGCAGTTTGCCAAGCACCATAAATTAGAATCGTTTCCGCTCTTCCGGCTAGTGTGTAAACCATTTTGGAAGTAAAATCTGAATCAATAAATCAATTTTTACTATCCCAAGATTGTCACAGAGGTAACTTACAGCATATTAGATTCGTACTTTCCCTTAGTAACGAATAAGTAAACCAGTATAACAATAAATACTGTTCGCCCAGGATATCTGTGTTATGGAAAAAAAAATCTGGTTGTTATTTGGTTGTTGCCACGTCTAATCTTCCCAATTGTGGGTTATGTTTAGTTCTAGTATTGGATCTGTTGTGTCATCTCCATCTTTATAGTATCTTCTACTGACTTGGCTCAATTATGAACAATTCGAAGAAATACTTAGTCACCATACTATGATCCAGCTTGTATGGCTTGTGAAGAGTAATATTCAAGAGATTAAATAAGTTGTATAAATGGAGAATATTTAACTGTAACATCCTCATTGAAGCTGTAGTACATGGTTGTAACTGGATGTGGAAATGAGGTAACCATGACCCTGAGTTCAAACTTCCTGGCGGATGTATCGTAGAACCTGAGATCCCTTTCTGAGCTGCTGGTGCAGATAACACTGCAGTCTGGCATCGGAACCATATCCGTGACCCAGGTGCCTTGGATCCACAAATAAGGACACGTGGACTGTACGGTTCTTTCCAGCTGCATGTCCAACGACCAATAGTTGATCGTTCCATCATGGCTGCAGGTGATTATGCTCCCATCGTGCCAGTTCCAGGATCTGGAATGAGTGATACAGTGTTTTGCGATGTTAGGTTGGAAGAAAAGTTCTACAGATTTGAAACGTTAACCCAAGTATACATTTGTAAACAGATTTATCTATGGAATGTCTTATGAAGTACTAGGCCGAAATTCAATAAAATGACTTTTTTCTCTCGAAAACAACTCAACTTTTCTAAATTTAAGTGTACTGGTATATCTTTTGTTGACATAAATATGTTGAGTCTCTTCACTACTTCTTATGATAACAACCTACAAATACCAAGACTCCATCCAGCTTACTCAATAGGATGTATGTATGTAATCTGTCCAATATCTATGGAAGTACTGAATACTGCACATATATTTACTTTTATGTTAGCAATAATCCATTCTCTTATATATACCTGTCAGGCTTGACTGTTGGAAAGAACTTTATCCTGTTGATGGCATGTCGGTGGTTACTCTTCAGCATGTTAGGTGGCAGTGGAATCGGCGGGTCTAATGTTTTGAACTCCATGCTGACATCTTGTTGTTCATAGAGCAAGATCAAATAAGAGATGAATTCATCCCAACTCACAATACCAGAGCTGAAATGAGCACCAGTAGCAATATGAGTAAGTTCCTCTCATCAAATTTCGAAATTTCATTTTGCGTTTTATAAATAAATACACCAATATCGTTTTTTTGCCAAAATAATTGTTTAAGCTTAGTGAGGTTTATAGGGTAGAAGATAAATTTAAACTATGGAACGAGGGAATGACTGACAGAATGCGAGAATAATTGTTGTGATAATTTGGTGTTATCAAAATATACTAAGTGACATATAAATCGGAACACCCAGTTTAAATGGTTTTATTTTAATAAAATTGTGTATAAGTACTTAAGCATAATAAGTAAATGATAAAAATTTCAAAATGATTGCACTGCTTTAAAGCCCTTTGACCTTTAATAATGTGTGGATGCACCCTGATGTGCTACGCATTCTCCAACGCGCCTAGGCATGCTTCTGATCAGGTGGTCAATGTCCTCCTGTGGTATCTCATTCCAGGCAACCACCAACTCCTCTCGAAGTGCTTCTAGAGTCTGAGGAGGACGTTGCAAATTGAGCAGTCTCCTACCCATCATATCCCACACGTGCTCAATTGGGGATAAGTCGGGAGATCTTGGTGGCCATGGTAACAATGTGACATCATTATGTTGGAAGAAGTCTATTGTGACTCTTGCAACATGTGGTCGGGCATTATCTTGTTGGAAAGTTGAATCTGCCAGGGTGTCAAGATAGGGTAAAAGATGGGGTTCTAGAATTTCGTGGATATAACGCTGCGCGTTCATGTTACCTCTGATGAAGATTAAAGGTGACCTGGAACCATAAGCTATAGCACCCCAAACCATAACTCCAACAGTGTGATGAACATGTCTTTCAACAAAAAACTGTGGATTCCTCCTTTCACCACGTCACCTTCTAACCCTGGCACGACCATCGTGCATGCCTAAACAAAATCGAGACTCGTCACTAAAGACAATACTGTTCCATTCCTGATCCCAGAGAGACCGTTGTCTGCACCACTCAAGGCGATTACGTCGGTGTTCTCGAGTTAAAGGGAGGACCCAGGGTGGCCGGTATGAAAACAAGCCAAAACTTCTCATTCGTCGGTAAACACTTCGCATGCCAATAGGTCTTCCGTGTTCTGCAAACCATTCATTTGCAATGGACCTGGTAGTGGAGAAACGGTCCCTTAAGGCCAATAATCTTAGGCGGCGATCTTCACGGTCTGTTGTTCTACGGCGGCGTCCAGTGCCCCTTGCTCTTTGCGTACGGCCTTCTCGAAGCCATGCCTGACAGCACCTAACCACACTTCTTTGCACTCTAACTGCAATTGCCCGAAAAGAACGTCCAGCTTCCCGAAGTCCCACTATACGGCCCCTATCAAACTCACTAAGTTGACGAAATCGTACAGGTCTCCGTATTCTAGGCATCGTAACCGATCGAAAAGGATGTCAAGAACCAAATTTCGCCAACGTTGATTGTTTACTGCGGCTGAAATATTCATTTTTAGAGCGTTAATGAATTAAAAAAAAAAGCAGTATAAAAACCGGAATGTCCAACTGATAAGGCTGAAAATTTTTTCACTTGTTATTTACAGTAAGATAAATACATTCACCAACTTTTATTAAAATAAAACCATTTAAACTGGGTGTTCGGATTTATATGTCACTTAGTATACATATAAACATAATGGTTGACGAGCAGGCAACGTGTAACGCAAGCTGTGCGTGCACCCCAATACGTGGCAGATACCTAATTCACTATTTACGTCTAACAATAAAAAGTCAAGAGGGCCATGAGTCCGCTTTAGGTTAGAATTTGGTTTGAAACTCTCTCTCTCTTTCTCCTACATATTAATTTTCCTTGAACAAACATACAACATAAAGCGTATTTGTCATCTTTAGTTTATTAGTTTCACATTTCAGAAATCTTCTTCCTCATAGATAAGAGGGAGAATGACCGCGAGGGAACTAATAGTAATAATATAGAGAAATATCAAACCTAATAAATAACTTCACTATGACTCGGATTTAAACGATTCTTGACTCAAGGTTACTATGCCAGGGACGAAAAAGCGTGTAGGTTTCAAGACTCAATCCAATGGCGGCGGAGCTACTGGCAAAAAAAGAAAAGGTAAGGATTATCGAACGCTGTCCCCTAACGTTTCCGAGGCTCCTAGAAACTTTTTGTAAGGGTTGAAAATTTACATTTGGGGTGGAAGGTTTCTACAGGGTGGCTTCGAAGTTGAGTCATTTATTTTAACAGTGAGTAGATTTGATCAAAAGAAATGTTTTTTCCTTTAACATTTTTCTGGTAAAATTAAAGTAACAAAGTTATAGCCCTTTAGAAGTTTGAGTACCGCCCTGTCTCAATAATAATATTATGTGCTCGTGTTTGGCAACAACGGATATAATCCGCCTTATCGGTTCATCGCATCGGAAACAAAAAAGCGAAAGAATTTGAAACGCTTTTCACAATGTTTTTACTATAATTTTATTCAGTTGTATTCAGTCAATGTGTCAGTCGGTAACGCGTGAGTGAATAGTGGTGTTTGTTGCGTGGCTCAATCGAAATAAAAAATAGCACATGTTTACGAAAATGCTGAACTTGTGGACATGATTCTTATTTACGGGGGGAGGGAGTCTTTACAAAATGCTGCCGCGGCATCACGGATTTATGCGGATCGGTTTCCCAATCGAGTGCAACCAACCCCTCGTGCCTTTGTTAATGTAGTACAAAGGGCTCGTGAATCAGGTGACTCAAGACCTCACAGGGGAGACCATGCCGGTGCTCCAAGACCGCACGATCAAATACAGGTCCGCACTGAAATACTTGTCGGGAGGATACTTCATAAAACAAGGTAAAATTTTTTTTTACTTTTTTTTAACACACATATTTTGGTTTATTTTCCTTCTACAATCATTATCTGAAAATTAATGACTCAACTTCAAAGTCTGCAATTTTTAGTATGAAACACATTTTATTACTGAAAAAAATATGATACCGGTGAAATTCTGATCTGTTGGACATATTTCACGTATTTCCTATAACACTTGAGCTTGTGATTAGCAACACCAGCTACCCACCAGCATGCAAAATTCACTATTTCACTTGACCCTTCCGATAGTATGCAGATATTTCGAAGAATAAATAATTATCTCACCTATTGTTAGTACATCATCTTCGACACGCAATCTCTCACTAACGCATGTCGTTATGCACAATACAGACGCATAAGGGTTCTCATAGCCATCAAACACTGATGATTCTAGGGCGAACTAAAGTTGTCCTGATATCCTGCGCGACCGATACTTGTAGTATATTATTTCAAATTATTATTGGCTTTTCACTTCCCACGCCGACAGGGGGGAAGTATTGTAATCACGATGTTTTACTTCACGAAATATCGTGTCATTCATGTCCGTCGGTCCGTCTTTGTTTGTCTTTCCGCTTATCTTTGGCCCGTCTATAACTTTGAAAGTACCGGTCGGATTTTGATAAAATTTTCATACAAGTTTAAGTTTAAGGCCAAGGACGAAAAAGCCTAGTTTTTGAAAATCTGTCCAGTGCGTTTTTTAGTATTCCATAGGATCCTGATCACTTTTGAAAGAAAAATTTGCGGTAAAAAATTATGGCGTGGAGGAGGGTGTATCGCAATTTTTTAATGTTGGTATATTAATACACTTCTAACCCTGATAATTCTACGCACCTGTAAGACATATTTAACACACCACATATTGTCATGTATTTGAATAAAATACCGCAGAAATACCCAACGACTTTATTTTCCCCCAAAACATCCCCCAGAATATTTTATCCCCTAAAAATTCCCCACGGGATCCAAAAATCCCTCAAATAGTAACCCTGCTATGTGGGCGCTCTCCCGTCTTAACGTATCATACTTTCTGATACTGAGGAGAGGCGTTGCGATGTTGCCAGATGAACAGTACCTCAGGTAGGGCAGAAAAATGATGTTATGGTCTAATTGTACAGACCTGTTTGACAGACTTGATCCGTTTAATCCCCTGTGATACATGCTCGTAACTGACTTTTTTCTAACTTGAACACACTGATTTTGTCCGTCCAACCAGAGACAGACAGCTGTTTCGTGCTTTTTTGGAAACTCTTCAGCATGGTCTAGGCTTTGTCTCTGGGACAACGAACGTAAGCATAGCAACTATCCTCTATCCAGGATATGAGCTCTGTGGCGTTGTCCCATTTTGATAGGGCCTAGCTTGTGCAGAACAATTGCATGGGAAATGTCAGCTTGTTTGACGCTATTTTTTTAATTACATTCATTTCAACACATTACCAGCTGAAAGGTCTGCAACAAACGAGCGATAGATAAGATACTAGGACGTACGAAGGCGTGCAGATGGTGCACGTTCAAAGTACATAATTCAACTTTTTTCTATATTTTAATCAACAGGACAATAATTTTTTGCTTATATTTGTTCTACTCTATGACCCTTGCGTCGAGGTACAAGGCGAAACGGACTATGTCCATTTGCCTGAGTTGTACAAAGTCATCCTACTTGACTCCATTTTTTTAAAGCTAAGCGCGCTGCGTGCAGCCTTATCAACATTTGAGATGCATATTTAAGCTCTGACCAGGATTGAGTTAGAAGAATTTTGGCTTCTCTTTTGAAATTCGACAGAAAATACTGACTTCTTGGATAAAACGGTAAAATTCTTTTACAACAAAATCTATTTGCTTGTGAAGTAAAAATGAGAGCACTTTTGGGAGAAGTAACAGTACCAAATATCATAATTTTGGCATACGATACGATACTTTTATAGAACAACTCTTGCTGTTTCATATAGTGTGGCAAAAAACTACGCAGATTAATCCATTAGAACCTTTTTTGGTTAAGAAGCAGAAATGTTGCCTCTTTAGGAGATAATTATAATTTGTATTGACTTTTATAGCTTTTATTGATTACCTAATAAGAAAATTTCACCCATCTTCAGTAAACAACTATAAGTAACGGCTAGTTCATTCCGCACCTACTGCATTATATAGGAAACCCAACATAATGT